TAACGTGCACATATCTAGAATATACATATTTGAAATTGTAGTCACCCAAGGGCATTGCAATATACCGTTTAAGGGTGAACAATAAATCATGTCGCCGTCTTCTTTTAGCGTTGGTTCTTTGTCGAAAACGAATAAATTATCGCGAGTCGAAATAACACGTTATCAATACTCTTAATGATTATGTTTATTATACAAAGTGCACAAGACTGGCGATCTTTAGATTTGTAGTTGTAATGGATGTGCCTTAATTATGATTCATTCAAATCTATATATATATATAATTATTTTAATCAAATCAATTTCGACATCGAAAATGTCAGGCTAATTATAAACCTTTTCCTGTCTATGAAAATCAATATACTCGCTCTTTTAAGAAAAAAACTATAAACATTGATAACATTTCGGTCAAGTTGTTAATGTACCAAATGAGTTACTTATCTTCTTAATGCTATGACTACTTTTAGTACAAATGACAGTAATTTGATTACCCGTTGTCATATATTGCCTCTTGATGTGCCACTTAAAGTATATTTCAGAGAAGGAGAATGATCGCAATGACGAAATTACTGACTTGACAACATCTTGGCGTTAGATTGCCTGACTAAATACCCCATGTCGCGCCGCACAGCCTAACTACTAACATTAACATTCTAACGACGCGTTGCTAAAGCTTGCTATCTTATGTACATTTCGTAATTAAGGTTGGTCGACGCGTGGGTTATAAATTTTTTTCGAGCATTGCAACTCACGCAGGGACAATCGCGAGAATAATATGTCAAATTCGTCCATTAACGGTAAGTGGACGGCTGCGTCAATAACTCAGGAGACACATTACTTACATAAGTGAACGATTTTTGAAAATCTTATATTGTAGGGACAAACAATAATAATATTTACAGACAGTATTTTTATTGATCTCGATGGGTTTATCGATGCTATGCATATGCGATGAATGAGTATTGCACGAATTTAAAAGTATGACGAACTTCCCCAAACAGAGCAATTGAAGTTACAATGCTGCTATCTTTTAACACGCGAGTTTTGGGGTCTCTTTAGATGTCAGGTCGATTACATCCAAAGTCAATGCTGCTTATATGCACGAATAAACAGGGACTCATGGATATTAAAAATTAGTATGCACACTTTTATCCAACTTTCATCAGACCATGAATAATGTATCCCTTGACGTTCATCTTTCCAATCAGTTCTACGAGCAATACAATGTTTGCCTAACCAACTTCAAATTCTAACAACAAATGTTTTTTTTCCCCGGAATTAGGCTTTCCAATCATATACCACACTAAGACAGAATTTGAATCGAAGCGCAGGGTCACGTCGGACTGAATGCAATTTTCTCTATTTTGAAAAAAAAAATAATCGCAAAGGAAGACACGCTCGTATATCAAACTGATTTACTGAGATGCTAGAATATTCTGCTAGGCCATTTTTTTCTCTTTTCGCCAATACCAATGTTGATGAATCGGTTCAAATTTTAACTTTTAACTACGAGATAATGATTTTTAAATCGCTCTTTGTAATTATTTTTCTTACAAATTGTGGATATTTAACTGCTGCTTTATAAAAGATAGCCCTATTGGGAGAATAAATAATCGTATGCCAATGATATTCGTAAAACGAAAACAATACGATTGGACAACCACTAAAACATAAATTAGATTTCAAAATCATAATATAAGTTACGGAATGTCGGAATGGACATTCATGATACTGCTCTAGTATTACGTGATATGACTATTAACATACGCAAGTGTTTTAGAGGTAAAACCTGTTTGTTAGAGCATAGTTAAATCAAAATAAACACGCGTGCAAGTATGCAGACTGTCCATGAAGCCCGATTTAATCCTACGATGTGAACGCAAATTATTGTCTGCATTCGTAAATAGTCTCGAATTGGGGTATGAACGATTGAGGAAGGAAGGAAGGAAGGAAGAACGTGAAACGGAAGAAGCCTAATTCTGACCCAATGACCATATCTCAATGTGCATAAAAGCTACGATAAATAACTAGACATCCAATGATTATATGTTCCATACAAACTAATGAATATAAAGGAAAGCATCGCCTTTTGATCGCAGTCTGCTGACGCACGTCTTGGCAATTAAGGACTGTATGCAACTTTTGCGACAAACGTGTTTTCTTTGACCTTGTTTTACTACGAATCTATTCAGTATAATGCAACATTAAACGTAATAGAACGTGTTGAAACCTTTTAACTTAACCTAAACGCACGTCATAGCACCGAAACACCAACTGCAATATCACATACTGTCAATATGTGTACGTTGTTTAGCATGTCTTGCAATCATCGATAATGTCACAACAACATACGAAACAACACGAGGACTGTCACGTGACTTTGCAACAGTTACTGAGATCTTTATTTATGATGTTCCGCCCAATAATTATATATGAATATTCAGAGTCATTCATAAGTATACGCGAATGCAGAATTATGAATGACGACATAATAAGCATGGCTTGCATGTGGTAATTACATGTTTAACGATGGATCGATTTGTTTCTTGAGTCTATAAGTATACGCCATGTTAAACACGGGCATTGTTAGTGTCTAAAGTTAAGAGAGAAAGATGAATAACAATCCATTTCATTCCTGACTGCGTTTCACATGGTGCGCTTTTATCAGTTAGGTCCACAGTAGATCATAGTGAATAAGAATGACAATAAAATATTGATTGATTTTAACATGTTTTTCTCATCCTTCAAAAGCAATCATTGTCACTTAATCGTTGTCACTGTTCTGTAACCAATCGTGTGACTGTTACTCTGACACACCGACACCAGATGCTGATTAACATTCCCGTAATATCCGTCGTTTAGTATTGCCAACTAACACTCTAATTTGGACAAAAGGATAGTTTTCTGATAACATTATGATCTAAATATATGATAACTTTTACAATGATGAAGTGAAAATTAGACATTCGAAAATATACAAGCCGAATGTTCTAACTGCAATGTTACTTGATCTAAATCATTTAACCTTTAGCTAAATGAATAAATAAATAAATAAATAAATAAATAAATAAATAAATAAATAAATAAATAAATAAATAAATAAATAAATGAATAAATAAATAAATAAATAAATAAATAAATAAATAAATAAATAAATAAATAAATAAATAAATAAATAAATAAATAAATAAATAAATAAATAAATAAATAAATAAATAAATAAATAAATAAATAAATAAATAAATAAATGTTACAGTTGTGTATCAAGATACCATCTACACCATGGTATATTGAATATTCACACAAGTATAAACAATATCATAATCGTCTTAATCAGGTCTTAATCGTTGAATCGAATATGACCTGAGATCCGATTAAACATTTAAAGTCTCACTGACCCAAGTTGAATAAATGAAATTTACATTTGAGGTAATTCGTCAAATACGTCATGCATGTGCCAATGTCAACATAATGTCATTTTTGCTCTTTTGCTCGGCTAACTGCAAGAGATCTTTATCGCAAATATGCTAAAATCACCCAGGGTGCAACAGCGAATATTCTGAATATCGAGAATAATGATTAACTTTCAGCGCGGTACGCAACTTTCCAATGAAGACATATCATGCCACGCAGCGCGTACAAACTGTAATATTATTGAAATCTATGTCCCATGTTAAATGTATCAATTTGTAAATAAAAACGAAATACTCACATTTTGAAACAAGTACATATACACACACAGATGGCAACTCGCATTACTCGCTAATTGGAGCCCGTGTGGTTAGTTCCGATACAATTTGACACTGTATTTACTTAATGCGTTCATATAAACAAGCATTACCACATGTGTTCCAATTATGTCACCACAAGTAACGTATAAGGAACCACATTCCATCACATTTGGTATTAATCGTCCCATCCCCAATCACCATACGATTATAACACTTGAACGCCTACAGGAACACGTTGATTACACTTTATAATTAAATCACGCTCATGAAAGGTTTCGAGACAAGTTCACCTAGACACTCTTCATGCTATGTGAATGTCATCACAGTCTTAAATGTCATTACAGTTGAATGGGTTTAATTTTACAAGAGTAATCCCGACGCTCTACGCATCGTCAGTCATTAATCTCATCCAAAAGCATTTGATCGCTGGATGTAAAAAAAAATCCGGATGATCAACCGCACAGCATTCGGTATTCGATAAACAGTTATCTGTGTTTAAACATTTGCCAAGTTCACTGATGCATACGATTGGAGAAGTGACTGATGCAATAACGCAAGTGAAAACGACATATAGAAAACAATTCGCATATCAACACGTACAATCCAAAGTAGCAAATGTCATATGAAGAAATATACTTATTTGGCGTTACAATTAACTCCGGTTAAATATAAGGTTTCTTCTTATTACATTGAGTCACATGTTCTTTTCTACTTTAAGGTATACATATATGTTAAATGTACAATAATATTAAGTAGATTATTTATATTATTGGAGTATATAATTACTCGCAATTATATATTAATTATAATTCAATTATTTTTAGTTGCAGGGTATCATTAAATAAAACATTCTTCCACCAAAATTATAAGGATCTATAATATACGTATTGCTTTTGCAATCTTTATTAACAAATTGTGATTATTCCTTTATTGTTTTATTTTGTTTTTTTTCAGAGAAAATCAGAACTGTTCAATTCAACGAATTGGTGGCGCAAGATAAGTGTTGCGGACGGGGATAGAAAAATAAGAATGCAACAAGAACAACGTGTGAAAGTCTGAACTCACAAAGAGTATTAACGCATATTAATGTATATAATGGGAAAGATTTTTTGTAAATGTCACGTGACAATGTTCCTGCCAATAGCAGAATCGTAAAATCTTAAGCTGCTATTGTATGTCTACGCAAACAAACCTGCAGTTTGGGGAAATCAGCGGCAGGTGATATAACGTTTCTGGCTGTATCTGCGCAACTGGTAAACTACATAACGAACAATGGCCGACGACTCCAGCTTTTATTCATATGATTACTACGGTCTTATAGAGAGGGCAGCCGAACTGAACACTCCGCCTAACGTGACGCTATCCATTGGAATACTGTTTATGATTTTCATCATTTTAAGTAATGTTTGGGTGATCATAGTTGTATTTCGTCAGCCAAAACTACGGAAGTCGGCTACGAACATCTTTATTGTGTCATTGTCAGTATCCGATCTAATGGTAGCTATATTCTTCATACCGTATCACATAGGACACTTCTCATATGATATCCCGATAACGGACAGAGCATTGTGCAAACTAGCTGGTTACTTTCACTGGGCCGCCCAGTGCGGTACGACATTCTCGTTAATCTGTATTGGAGTGGACCGTTTCCGTGCGATCGTTCAGCCTATGAAGCCAAAACTAACTATCCACCACGCTGCAATCGGATGCACCATGGTCTGGATCTGTTCCCTCGGTTATTCGTCATACAAGTTAGTTGTGAACGACGTTCTTGTCTGGAACGAGACTTTAACTGTTGAACGTAACAACACAACGTTGTACGAGTTTGAACTGATTTACTACTGCCACGTCGCAGACGAAGTCACTGACTACTGGTTCCGTTTAACTGACTTAATATTTATGTACATTCTACCACTCATGATTTTGACAATTTTATACTCAATTATGGTATTCACGTTATGGTTCAGCAAATCGCCGACGAATTCCAGCAGTCGTAACAAGAAGAAAGCCGTGAAGATGCTGAGCTTTGTCGTTCTACAGTTTGCACTGACGTGGCTCCCTAACCACATTTTACAATTTTATTTCACGTGGGCGGAATCCTTTCCTAAAAGTGAATTTCTGTGGTCCAACGCTCCTGCCAATTTGGCCATATTTATATTTCTTTGCAATAGCTGGATAAATCCTATCCTGTATGCGTATTTCAACGAAAGTTTCAGAAAAGAGTTCAAAAAACTAGTTCCGTGTTTGTATAAATGCCGTAAGTCTACGAAAGTTGTACCCGATGACACAGCGACGTCGCGACCAGGTCGTACTAGTCAAAGCCGCACAGGTTATACTGGAAAAACACTAGTATCATCTATCAGTACCACGGTTCAATAATACTTATCAAAAAAAAATCAAAATATTGAACCAGTATTTATCTTTTACTTGATAAACAATGTAAATACATGTTTATTGGAATATGAAATAGTAAATTCTATAATACATATGGTAAATCTAATGTAATAGTTGTATTTTTGAATCACTCATCATCATTCAATTTTAAGATCAATAAATGATTAGTCACAATCACTCATTGTGAAGCAAATCAACAGGAGAATTTATAATCTATGTAGTAACTACAACATAGGAGAAATCTCCTTATCTTAAATTGTCTTTGACTTTTTTTGAATGAATGAAAAGTAAATGCGGAACATCGAGTAAACTACCACATTTGTTAGAATGTTCAATTATTTAAGTGCAACAGTCAAACATAATTATAACAATTACAATAATTATTCATGTTTCATTTAACGCCATTATTCGACGGTATGCTCGTTTGTTTTATATTGCTATGTCGTACATAGATCGAACGCCAAATTGTCATCTCGACCTCAAATCAGGCGAAAGAGCACAGTAAACAATGAACATTTATTTGTATATCAGAGCCAAAGAAGGTCTCATTCCGCTACGATTGTGCTATCCAATTAGAATCAACTATCATCTTTCATCTATGTTTCGAATTGAATAGCATTGATGTATATCAAACGTTAAGCAGATTATTCATCTCAAACACAGATTACGAAACATGTTACCATTGTCGAGGGAGAAAGTCTTTAATACTGTGTATGGCATCGAAGATAATACGTACCAAGCATGGATCCTGAGAATGTTCAAAAACACACATTATATAATTCAACACAAAAGTACATTTCCCCGGGCATTGTGAAATAAAAGAAATGAAAAATGATTTTTTTAATATCCGTCCCTTAACATCGTCTGTCTCCGCATATTCTTAGCAGCAGAAACAGCAGCTGCTTTATTGTTACTGTGATTATTCTGGCTATAAACACACTTTTAATATTCTAGTACCTTTCACCATGTATATATTTCAATTGAGCCTTAGATAATGACAAACACATTAACGTATTTGATCAATTGATATAAGCTTAATATTTAATGATATTGTCAGTCCAGTACAATTGTTATTGTTTTTTAGTCGTATAATTTTTAACTATGTATACTAATAGCTAAATAAAATATAATATATTGTAAACAAAAAATATTCAGTTTTATATTGTAAATGAACGTGTGGGTAACACAATTTATTACCGTGACTTGAATAATTGGGATAATATGGTTTTATTATATACAAACCTTGAAGTAAATAATATAATCATGTTATTTTATAACGAATCATATATATAGTGCAATACAATGCATAATAATGTACGTTTTAAAATCTAGATAATAAAGTATGTGCTTTACACAGCGAATAGTTGAATCATCGACGCGTATACAGCGTCGAGATAATTGATAGCTGTCAAACCCAAACGTAATTATCACACAGATAAATGGCGTTGAATATATGTTACATTGGAGATGAAATACAGGTCATGATACTTAAATGGTTACCGCGCTTTATTTGGCACTATTTTTTTTTTTTTGGCTTTTCGAGGGCAAGTACAAATATAAGCTTCTTTTGATTCATGCTACATTGCCATGTATGTGGCTCGGATGGTCAGATGTCAATAACAATTGCAGATATGGTACGAGCATATAAATATGCAACACACGAACTGTCATTCAAATATGCTGACAAAAGACGAGATTTCAACGTTACCATCACTATTGATGGTAAGATTATGGCACTCATTCAACTATTTCCATTCTTTTAAGGGTATACTGTAAATAGATCTGACTTATTAACCTCAAATATTTGCTTGAATTAGTAGATAACGAATCGCTGCTATAAATATAAATATAATATATATATAAATATATTCGCAATATTGCTTTGTTGTGTTCGAGACATCCAATCGATACCCAAACCAATTCAATATGACAAAATCGTTGAACTAAATTTTGAAAATGTACTGACATTGATCTATACCGTGAAAGTTCGATACGTTTTTCATGCTTCTTATGAATCGGATTGTTGGTATACACACCTTGTTGTAGGTTAGTATCTCAGTTATGTGTTTATTTGTCTTATGTTCTGTATGTTCTTATGTTCTTATGTTCTATTTTTTTCAATTAATTGACGTCGATTGGATATTACGTTCTTTGTACGTTATATATTTCGAATAACCATGTTCATGTCAATCCCTTTTCCTCTATATGTACAATACGAATGGTATTTTTATAAAATAAAACATGTTGCCGAATATTCAATGCACCGGTATATTTGTTACCTTCTTTCTTTAAATAGTTACCATTTTTTAGGTAAGTATTCATTTATGCAAATATTTGGATATAGAATTTGGACAAGTATATTTGACATTGTCAAATATCTAGACTTAGAATAAACCATAATTACACAAAATTACAATCATCTTCCCAGATCTAGGCGGCAAAATACAAAAAACGTATCATCTAAAGAGTTATGCCTAAGGATGATAAGGTAATTTTGAGGATTAGAATGGTAGTATCATTAATAGTTTATAGGAACTGTCGTCAAAAAGTCACTCTTTATATTACATTTTACTAAGTATATTTTGTTTGAGACATTCAATCAATACTCAAACCAATTCAATATGGTAAAAAGCGTCGACCTTAGTCTTGACAATGTTCTGAAATTGATTTTATCGTGCAAGTTCGTTACATTGTTTAAGCGCAAATTACTACACATTGTCTAGGTTGAGTGCACGGACAACCATGCTATGACAATTTGTATTCAAGCAAGTTACTGTCAAATATTTGTTTAACTAGAGTTTCATTTCCTTGGTTACAATCTGAATAATATACGGCTATTATTAATGTCTGCGATAAATCAATTTCTACTTTACATATTTATTATGTTTTATTCTATATTATAGTATGAGTATGTCTATTAACAGCCGTATTAAATGAAATTACGATCACACTAATATGTCCCTAGATATCATTCTGGTTTTAAAATTTAACTGAAAGATGAATATATTGGTGATGTGTTCGGGATTAATGTATTTTTCTGATAAAGTGTTTATCACAAGTTACCACGCAAATCGACAGAGATCAGTGTGTGGTGCTCAAGGTCACATTCGAAATATCTACAAAAATTTTGAATCTATCACAAACATTCAACTTGATTTCCATCTATGGAGAACTGTGCTACCTAATGTTTTTTTCCCGCACTTCTGTCGGGCCAGTAACAGAAATTGAAACATTGTGACTGGGACTCATTCGTCATTATATGCATGCATATACAAAATAACGCCAATATAAATCTTTGATTGCTGTGGCAGTACTACCCTAGGGAAAAAGTGTCCTTACTAATGGCTGTAATCACGTGTTTCTGCTTACATCAAGAGTATAATATACTTTTCAAATACCTGTTCCAAATTACTCGATGAAATTTTATAATACAAGCACACAACAACAAATGACGCTGTATGATTTGCTGCGTTTCTGTGTGCTTAAATTAATTGAAAATGTTTTTAGCGATTGCCTTTCATAAATGAATCTTGTATTGTGTAGTTATGAGGTCGTTAAAACACGTGCATGATAGCACCATACAATACGCGACACATACGTTTCGAAACATATTTTTCTCTATGAGGACGCATCTGTAGCATACCCTTGCTTCCATGTGAAGTGGAAGTCGGGCCTACAAAACTGTTCCGTGAGTATATTATATACACATACATCAGTGGCCGTCTTCTTTTGTTGTAGGTACATGCGTGAATTACCGTTTTTTACATCGCGATAGCATTGTTGCTATAACCCGTGGGAGTTCTGATACAACTATGTAATCCACTAACAAAGTCGGTGATTGGGTTGATGTAACCCTAATGTGAACACGGATTGACCAACCACATTAATTATTTGTATTTGGTGTGTTATACAAATAAATACATAGCTTAACTCTGATTTAAGTAAGAATCGTAGATGCATTGTCAACACTTTCGAAATCCACGATCTTTTTCTTGATGAAACACATTTTTGAGCGTTGACAAGTTCAATTTGAGATAGTTTGAAATGCTACTTTACGTGAACGCATTTTATGTGACAGGCATTTAATAAATGTTGTTTAAATTTTTAAGTGTTAATCTATTAGCGTTTTTGTAAGGTTAATTTAATTAAATTCAAATATTCTGTCTGCCAACAAAAGTTACTCAAAAATTAAAGAAGTTTCAAAAAATATTCAACTGTATTATTTGATATTTCAAATATTAAGGAAACGCCCAAATTAAGCCAACATATCGAGCCACCACTACATAAATTACTGTACTATATGTCTATAACTGTGTACGCAGGAGAAACAAGGACTTCTGAAGAAACATAATTAACATAGAATGTTTGACATGGTCAGTTTAAATCATCTATTATCATTATACAGAGCCAAGGATTGAGCAGGTGTATTACTTCGCTTGTGATTTAAAAAATGGTTGACATCCTGCCGTTTTTACAGCCTAGTAGCGGTTTTCCGGGTGACGTCTATTACAACAAACTAAACGACGTTAGTTGAAAACGTCTCTGAGAAGATAACGTAATCAACGACAAAATATTAGTATACGTTTTGTGTGCACCCACAAGTAATACTAATTCCAGCCATATTATGACCATGTAAAGGAGTGATGTTGTGATTGGTAAATTCTATCATCAGATTACAATATATTTACAACAGTAAAATTGCTCTTATTTCTCGAACTCTAGATTGGTTATTTTGTTGTCTGACAAACGCCGCGCCTTGTGTACAGACGTAATCCACGTATGTGTTCAATCATCTCTATATGTGTTTTATGGGATACAATAGTTGAATACTGATTTTAAAATATTCAACTTTGACTTAGTTTACTCCGTCTGAATTTTATAAATATTTTAGAAGTAGGTTTATATTCGTGTTTTAGACGCACAGTTATTTGTTTGTGCGAAGGAGTAAAATCGGTATGGATGCTGTAACTCCCTATAGATTTGTT